TTGTTGCATGCAGCTCATGACCATCACCAAGCATGATTGCAGCAACTTCAGAAGCCAAAGGAGCATTGTATCGATGGAGATCTCATGTTCGATCTTCATGAATGACCATTATAATTTCATAGGGCACGTTTGTTTGGATAAGATCTCTTACGCGATGAAAGTTCTGGATATACGGATTGCATTTATCCATTACAGTCAGCAGATTTTGTAGAATGGTATTGTCTAAGTCCACCATAACGTTATGACGATATGCATTCTCATGTACAGAGTTATAGATATATAATTGCGCAAATGCTGGCTGAGAACCTTCTTCTGGTAGCAACAAACCGATACGATGATAAACTTGGCCATGAATACGGAAGTCAGAAATGCCTTGTTCTGGGATCGTATTTATATTAGTACCAAACGATGTATACGCCAAAACATTATTATAACATCTAATGTTTTTCCGGAAAGAGATTGCATCAGAGTTTGACGAAGTATATAAATTCAACAAATAAGGAGGGGGTTTAACCAAACGTAGCAAACGAACTTTGCCGTGTGTACAGTAAGTCGAAAATGTAGGATATGCAAAAGAGCTATTCCGATTCTTTTCCTCCATCTAAAACTTAGCATCACAATGGATGCAGGTCTGATTCATTCGGCCTAAATCATTTCGTTTTATCCCATTATTTATAATTATCCTTTCACTGGTAATATTGACGTTTTGCCTCTTTCTTTAACAGACTTGATTCTCTTTAGGTAAACAATTCTGACGTATACCAGATGGCTCTACTTCTTGTCTAGGTCGCAGGCGCGTTTCAGGTGGGCAATTTTCATTATTGATAATTTTTCTCCTTTTTCAAAGACTGGCCTGTCTTTCTTTAGCTAATCTCTTTCGACGTATTTCAGGTGACTCACTTGCTTCCGATATCAGAATAGTAAATCAGAAGGTCAGAAAAAATAATGAGTTACAGCATATACAGAAGCAAAAAATTCAAAAAAAAAATCACGATTTTAGAAACACAG